AAGTTGACACTGACCATCACACCAGCCCTCCTCTGTCTATGGCTTCTCGCTCCTTCCAGCTCGAGCGCCCACTCTCAGCCAGAGGCCCCGCTTGGGGGTAGGGTGAGGTCGGCAGCCCCGCCCCCCCGCTCTCCTGTGATGAATCCTCTCCCCTAGACTCTTGGCTGGGCTCCTGCGTCCCTCGCTTGTGAAACCTCTATTTACCCACCTGGCAAGCCTCCCCCACACTGCCGCCCGTGCGAGTGCAGCCTGGTGTGGGACCACCAGGCTGCACGCTGCCCTCCTGGGGGAGCGGCAGAGCTCAGGACACAGATTTGCCTAGCGCCTCTGCTTTCCTGGCCCCGTGGCTGGGCTCCGGGCTGGAGTCCGCGGCCAGGCAGCGGCTCTGGGCTGCAGGAAACCAGCCCCGTGGCTGTTTTGTTTCGATTGCACAACCCTGGTGCATGAGGCCAGCGTGGACATCTGCTGTGCTGGCCAGCCCAGCACCCACCCCCCATTTCTGGCAAAAGCCCCCCAGTTGCCTCATGTGGAATTCCCCCTCTTTGTGCAGCCTGGGGAGTGGGCTGTCTGTCCAGATGCCGCTGTCCTCGCTTGCCAAAAGAGAGGCCAGTGGCCCTGGCTGGGTCACCTGCTCTCCCTCCCTCCGAGGACAGGCACTCATTCCTCATCCTGGAGGCCAGTCCCCAAGGGTAGTCACAGAGTGTCCCCTTTCTCCAAGATGCCCTGGCTGTGTCCCCGCCAGGGCCGGCCTGCTCTTCCCCTTGGTCTGCGGATGAAGCCCTCTTCTGCTTAGGTCAAACAGTCCAGTTCTGTAGCTGAGACCTGAGTGACTAAACGGGAATGTGAATCCTGGCTGGGCCCAGGGTGGCTGTGCGGCCCGTCACTGAGCCTCAGCTTCTCCACCTACACGCCTGAGCTGGCCTCCTGTGCTGACGCTTCAGGACCTCAGGGCTGCTTTGCTCAAGGGGCGACCGGGACTGCCGTGCATCAGCTGGGCCCTTCTCCCTCCTGACCTAGGGGCATGTTTGGTGGGGGAGGGGAGGCGGTAGCTGGGAATCCTTAGTTCTGCCTCCTGCTGTGGGTAGTGGCGGCCATAAGGATCAAGGTACACTGGACCGAGGCCTTGCTAAGTCAGCTTTGCACAGCTACGCTGCTGCTTTAATGGGACAGTGGTCCGCCCCTCTTTAAGCTGTAGTGCCTCAAGTTTTTGAGAATCTGGTGAAAGCTTTGGATGCTCTGGCTATGCCAAAAAACCTCTCCATCCATATCTCTCCTCTCCCCGCCCCCTCCCCCCCCACACACACAGACACACACTTTAATGTACAGTTTCAGGAGGAGGACTAAGAATAGCCTGTACCCCTTCAGGTGAGCCCCCCCTGGGTTTATAGGACAGATAACCGGCTTCGGCACACACGTCAGTGGCCAGACCCTACGCCAGGTGCTTTGCGAACATCAGCTCATCCACTCAAAGAGGACAGCATTTGTGGTAGAGATTGCTATGTTTTCACCAAACCCTGGTCTATTATTTTCCCCTTGGAAACACAGCTGGACTACATTTCCCAGCCTCCCTTGCAGTTAGGCATGGCCACATGACTGTGCTCTGACCAATGGAATGTGAGCTGAAGTGATGCACCTCCTCTCCTTCTTGTCTGGTCCATAAATTCCTTCCATGCCTTCCTCCACTCTATTTTCCCTTCCAGAAGATTATTGCAGAGGAGGATAAGGCCTTAGAAATGACAGAGCCACAAGATGAAGGAGTGTGGGCCCCAGAGTGACTGTGTGGAGCAGGGCCCTGGCCCCTCCCACCACCAGCCCAAAGTAGGCTATACTATGAGTAAGAAATAAACTTTATTGTTATTATTATTATCCTCACCTGAGGCCACTTTTTCATTGCTTTGAGAGAGAGGGGACAGGAGAGAAAGAAACATCGATTCATGGCCTCCTGTATGTGCCCTGACCAGGGATCAAACTTGCAACCTAGGTTTGTGCCCTGACCAGGAATCAAACCCGTAACTTTTAGTTATGGGGCGATGCTTCAACCAACTGAGCCACATGGCCCAGAGAGAAATAAACTTTTATTTGGGGGCTGTTTGTTATAGCTGTAAACCCATCCTAACTAAAATAACATTTTTATTATCCCCATCCTGAGGGGCTTCTTTTTAAGGACTCCATCTTAGATTTCTTTCAAAAGAGCAACCCACCACTGCCTTCAGCCTGGGACCCTCCAGCTGGAACGTGTGCACTTCTGGCGCTGAGCCTGGTGCCCACCTGACTCCAAGGCACCTTCTCCAGGACCCCGATTTACAGCTTCACCCTTGCCCTCAGGCCCCTCCCCCCAGATATCCTCGGTTCATATGTCTGTAGTTTGTGGCTTTCTTGCTCCATCCTGCACCCCCCGCCACCGCCCCACAATTACTTTGGCCGTCGCCTGGTGTCTGAAGGCCAGGATTCAGGGTGAGCTGCATCTGTGCTTTCCTCCCTGACAAACAGCCCCTGGAAGCCCGGGGCTGGGGCTGGCTCGCCGCTGAGTTCCCTCGTGGCCAGCAGAGGATGAGCACACAGGGGTTGCTTCTGCAATGGTGCGGTCTTTGTAATTCCCCAGCGCGGGAGGCCCTGGAGGACTGCCCAGGAGCCTCGTGCTCCTGGGGTACCCGGCTTCCGAGGGGTAGGTGGGCCTCTGCCCTTGTGGCTCTTTTACACAATGGGCTAACGTGAGGCTCCAGAAGGTCTGGGCGAGGAGCCTGGACTGCCTTCCCCCAGCCTCACTCACAACCACACCTTGTTCCCTGGCCCTGGCGCCAGGCCCCTCCACGCTGGGAGGCTGAGAGACAGGTCACGCCCATGATATCCCCAGTGTGGGCAACCCTTTCCACCAATGTCCCTCCGAGGGAGGGCGTCCCCCTACCTTCTAAACAATTCAGTTGGTCTCCAAACTACCTTTGGCCCTTTACAAACCCTTTAGCCCTCAGTTATCTTCACGTAATAAGAACATTAACTCTACCTGTGCGTACGTGTGTGTGCGCGCACGCACACGCAAGTGTCAGGCCCCAGGCTAAGCCATTTATGTCCTAGGTCTTTCTGATCCCTTCATCATTCCCATTTTACAGGTGGGGGAGGCGAAGTTCTGGGAGCGCCCCCCGCCATCCCACAGCCCCCAGGACCCCCTGTGAGGGCAGCGGCAAGACTCTGGCCAGGTGGGTATGGAAGCAGAACTGCCCAGGGCTGCTTTCACACCCACTTTTACTCTCCCAACGCAGTAGACGGCGGGAGGAAAGCTACTGGGAGGAGACAGGGAGGGAGAGCTCCCTCCCAGGGGCTCCAGGCAGCTCCCAAGCCCACCTCCGCAGGTCCCTCCCCTCTGCGCCTTCCCATGGGTCCTTGACCTCTGCCCGCACCACCGGCCGCTTTGACCCTGCCGCGCAGCCAGTCCCTCTCCCTCTCCTGTTCCCACCACTGGAAGCTCAGCCGTTTGGTTTTGCCCGAGCAGACCCAGCAGCGCTGCTTCTCTGAGGTTGTGTGTTCACTGTGCAAAACAGCAGAAATTTATAGCCCAAGTAATTGATCACGGTGCTGCTGCCTCCCTCCATCTCACGCGGTCCCCTAATTCCCTTCCCTCCGCCCTCCTTTCCCTTTTTCTCAGCGCACCATCTGTGGTGTCAGAGAAAAGGAAGCCAAGAAGGGGCGGGGGGGGAGGTTCTAGTCACATGAACCTCAGTTTCCCCATCTGCAATACACAGACGGTGGTAATACCTGCTCATGAGTGTGCTGGGCCCCGTTGGATGCTGGGGACCTCACACCCCAGAGCAATCCTGCAAAGTGGGTGGCTCTGGGGCCTACCTTGCGCGTGGGGACGCTGGGGCCCAGAGAGCTTGGGGCATTGGCTCAGGCTCACAGAGCTGGTGAACAGCAGCCCTGGGGCTTGAACCGACATCAGCTGTGCTGCAAAGCCCAGACCATTAGGCAGCACTGCCTCCCTTTCCCATCAGGGCCCATCGGAACAGAGGCGATCCTTGCCAGACCTCCCCCCACCCCCCGTCCCTGTGTTGCTTCATCCTGGGGCTCACTATGGGCAGAAACAGAGGGAAGTGCTTTGCAAACTGTCGAGTGCTCTGCTGATGCCGGAAAACTTCACAATCATTTCCCTCCTTCAACTGTCTGGGTGCTCTGGGACCCAAGAGCTTGCCTGGGCCTCAGACTCCTCCCTCCTCGCCTCCCAGAGACACTGGGGGAACAGGAGCCTCCCGCCTGTCAGCCCTTGACACCTGCCAGCTGCCTGGCACCTCCAGGGAGGGCCATAGAATCTTCTGGAATGACCTACAAAAGGACTCTGAGGAGCACTTCAGTTGCCCTTCACACGACAGATGGGACGTCCAGGCCTGGGAGGGGTGGCCCAGGTCCCCTCGATCTTCGCAGGCCTTCTAGAAAGTCCCCTCTGGACTCCCAGTCCAGTGCTCACTGGGCTGACAGCCGCGGCTGCTTCTCCTGTTCAGTTCTGTGGGGGTCTACTTCCAGGGGCCAGAGCTTGTCTTTTCTCCTTCCGCCCCTTTCTCGTTCTCACTCCCAGCCTCGCTTCCCCTGCCTCTGCCTGTCTCCCTGTTGCTCTGCGGTCTCTGTCTCGGTGTCTCTCTTCTCGCCTCCAGCCCGCAGGTGAGGACTTGCTTCCCTCGCAGCGGCTGCAAGGCCAAGCACAGCCCCTCTCCCACTCCTCAGCCTCCAGGGAGCCTCCGCGTGTAGCACCCAGCCTCCTGCCTTCCTCGTCGCAACCCTGGGGGGCCGCAGCTGGGGGGCAGCCCGCGGTCGGTGCCCCCCTTCCCGGAGGGACAGGCGGCTCCAGCCCCTCCGGCTGCAGCTCCCGCCTCACTGGCGGAGATGAGAGCCAAGCAGCAGCACACAGAACAAACAGAATTTTTTTTTTGCAACTAGAGGGGGAAGCACAGAGCTAAAAATAAAACGAAAAGATCAGTATCTGTCAGTCTGACAGCTGATTGGCTGCTCGGAGATGCATATAATTACCAGCCACTGGCGCTGGGTAGGCAAAGCCGGGAGAAACTGCTGAGACGAGGTTAGGATTTAACCTTTAAATTCTGGAGCCACCGGAAGCCGAGGGGAGGACGACGGGCGTCGGTGCTAATGAGGCTGGGGGGTGGGCGGCGGGCGGCGGGCCCCAGTCCGGGGAAGTTCGGAGGGGGCTCCTCCGGGAAGGCCCCGGGAGCCCTCGGCCGGGCGGCCGCCCCCATCACACTAGAGGGTGTCTGATTGGGCGGCCAGGAGGCGGTGGTCCTTCTCCCCGCCCCGCGGGAGGTGGTGACTTCGGGGAAGTCGGGGTCTCCCCCCGCGAGGTGAGGGGGCTGCCTGGGGCCCTGGACCCCTCCCCGATTGGCCTCCCAGCAAGGCCCACCCCTGCCCCCACCCGGACCCGCTTTCCTCTGCGTTTCCCTGCCTGGTGTCCGTTTTCCAACCCATCCCTCTCCCCTTCCTTGACTTGGAGTCACCCCCATCCTGGCTGTTTGCTGCCCCACCTGGGGAGGACATCTTGGCATCTCAGGTTTGTCCCAGGTCCCCAGAGAGAGAGGAAACAAGGCAGGCCTGGAGGGACCTTGTGGTCTCATGAAGCCTCAGTTTCTTCATCTGTAAAATGGGGAGACGGTAATAGGTCTGACCACTCCGCAGCCGCCAGGGGTGCATCGAGGCCACAGGAGCCAGCGTTGATCCCCGTCAGGATTTGTCGTTTTCTCTCTTAGAACTGGTCTCCTCATCTGTGCATTGCGAGTGAGCGTTCTTGTCCTCTTGCATGATGGTGGAGGCCAGTGAACAGTAAGGGAGCCCGCGTAGGTGATGGGGCTCCCTAAACCGCCTCCTGGGGGACGTGGGAGGCGGCTTCTTGCAGCTCCTCGAACCCACTACTGTCTCCCTTCCAGGCCTTTGCCCAGGCTGTGGCCTCTGCCTGGAACTCTTTTCCTTCCTCTCATTCCAGCCTTTTCCTTCAGTGCCTCTTCCTCCAGGAAGCCCTCCCAGATGCCCCAGCAGGTCTTCTCTTGCTGCCTCCAGGGGTCTCATCTGATGATCAGAGCCTCATCACCTGCCTCGCACACAGGCCTGTGAGCCCCATGAGGACAAGAACCACCTGCCTGGCCCAGGCGCCTCAGGAAGTGAGACATCCAGATCCCGGATGTGGGGCCCTGGGAGCCAGAAGGAGGTAGAACTACGCTGCCCAGGCTTGGGGCAAGCAGCGGCCTTGGGTAGTGGGGAGCTACCTTCTCCCAGCACCTCAGGGGGCGCCGGATGCCTGGGGAACACCTGGCCTTGCCGTCAGCACTGACATACTGAGATGACACTCGGGAAGCTACCCCTTTGTGTGCCTCCTGTGAAAGAGGGAGAATGCCACCATAATGCCACGGCCCTGGCCTTTGCTGCTCCCTTACCCCAGAAAGCCTCAGAGTTTGCCTGCCCAGCCCTAGCCCTTGCCCTGTGCTCGGTGGGGTGGTGGGTGGAGCTGCCACTGGGCAGGAGGACCTCGAAAGTGGGTGCGGTGCTGCTGCCCTTCACTTTTTTTTTTTTGTTATCCACATTTTGCAGATGAGGAAACTGAGGCACAGAGTGGTTAAGCAACATGGCGGAGGCTGAATCCACCCAGTCCCCTGCCTCCCAAGGCCGGGGCCAGCAGCCCCTGCCTCTGAGATGGATAAAAGGGAGATACAGGGAAGGGAGATGTTTCTGGAGCAGCTCCCGTGAGACCTTCCAGGCAGATAAATTGGCACAGAGTCTCGAGGACGTTTTGTGTGTGGTGTGCAAAGGAGCTCCCCTTTGGTGTTTCTGAGAGATCAGGAAGATTTAAACTGCTTTCCACTGATGTTGGGATGTCAGAATGGTGTTTCTTTTGAACGTGACATGGCGAGGAGGCTGGGCCCCAAGGCAGCCCAGTTTTATTCGGGTTACAGAAATAATAATAGCAAAGGCAGCAACGGAAGCAGTTCTCAGGGACTGAGCATTTACCATGCGCTCGGTGCTGGGCTCCGCCTTGACTAGGATGCGTGCTCTGAGCCCTCACCACCAGCCTGGATGGGGATTATTCTCATCCCCACTTTATTTCCCTTCAGCTGGCATCCGAATCTGTTAGCCTCCACATTTGCTGTCTCCCTTGTTGGTCGGTGAGCTTGGTGAAGGCGCCAGTCTGGTCTCCCCCATTCATTGCTGAGTCCCTGGCACCCAGCACGAGCTCCGCGAGGAGCAGCTGGACAATAAAGCTTTGCTGGACACATTTCAGATGAAGAGACTGAGGGTCAGAGAGGTCACGCAGCTTGCCAGGGGGGAACCCCAGGTCGCCATGGCCCTAGAGCCTGCCTGGATCCTAATCACCACCTCACATAGCTGCTTAAGAGACCGTCTCTGAGACCCCTCTCAAGAAAACCACAGAAATGAATCCCAACCACCCACCACCCACTATTCTCAGACCTTGTAACCACACCCAGGAGGCTTCTGAACTGATTCTGCCCCTTCCCACTTGATGCCTGGCAGGTGGGGAGGAAGAGGTCACGCGTTCTTTTCTAAAAAATCTTATTTCCACAAACCATATATGATTCTTATTGCTATCTTACATACTTTAGGAAATGTTGGTTTAAAAAAAAAAATCTGAACCCTGAACAGTGCCTGAGCCCTTGCCGGGTGCCCAGTGTGGCATTTGGCCCTTGGAACTTGGATCTTGAGACCCCACTGGTAGGCAGGTCCTGTGCTAACCTCCTCGCCTGCTTGGGTTGTCCTCACAGCAACCCCAAGGGGCAAGTGACTGGGATCACTGTTTCCCAGGGGAGGAAACCGAGGCACAGAAGGGCAGCGATTTGCTCAGGGTTCCACAGCAGCGAAGTGCCGCGCCTGGCTCCAGACCGGGGCGCTCTGCTCTGCTTCGAGCAGGCGCCCAGCTCAGCGTGGGAGACACAGCATCAGGACGGAGTCCTGGCCGCAGGGCGCTGGGTGAGCTCTCAGGGCACAAAGACGAAGCAGAGGGGTCCCGCCCTGGAGGAGCAACGTCTCCTGGGAGAGGAAGACACGCCAACACACCACTGAAAACTCATGGCGGAGCAGGGGCACCCAAAGCCTTGTAATTGATTTATCGCGTAAAGAAAGGCTGGAAAGAGCCCCCGCAGGACCTTGCTTTACAAAAGTCCCCAGGTTTTGCATCCACATCAGAGTTCTAGGCTCTTTGTTGTGGCTGATGGATGGACGGCACGTTTTTTAGTCCTCAAAATGGACTCCTTTGGGTTGTATTTGAAGCCCCGTTGGCTGGTCCTGCACTGCGGTGTTCCAGCCCATGGTTGGGGTGCCTCCGGCTCAAGAGCTCCAGCTCCTGCTGCTCAGACACATGAAGACCATTTTAAAGAAGCAATTGTGTCCTTTCCCTGCCATCTCAACCCTGTGCCCAAAGGTGACTTCAGGTCCTGGAATGAAAGATGCTGTCCAGTGGCCGTGAGTCCTGGGCGCCCCACCACCACCAAGATGTCTCCAGCTGGAGGACGCACGTCCAGACAAGGGGATGTCAGCTGAAATTGTCAGCTGATTTCAAACCACCCCCCAAACCTGCATCCATCAGACTTCCAAGCCCTGGCCTTTGACCTCTGAGTTCTCCTGACCAGAATTTCCAAGGCCTCAGACCTCCTGAGGGTGTGGGTACAAGTGGGAAGGGTGGGATGCAGGGGAGGGCTCTGCCTAGAAGGACTTAGAGAACTGCCATCCGGCCCCCGCTCCCCCCACCCCACACTCGGACACGCCCAAGGTGCAAAGGAAGGCGCGGAGCTGAATGGAAGCTGCACGGAGAGTCCCACGCCCGGCTTGCTGCAGGTTTGCACAAGCACTTCAAGTCTGTCTGCGGCTGGTTTCCTCCCGGTTCCCCAGAAACCCGCAAACAAGAGCCTACACGCCTTCCTTCCAGGTCCGCTTTCACGGCGGGCAGGGCACCTGGTGAAGACCTGGGATGTTGGGGGGTGTCCTTCCCCCCGGGGTGTCCCACGGGCTGCCTCTCCTCCCCCAGCACCCGTGGGGCTGGGCGGGGATGGGGAAACACTCGCTTTGTTTCAAAGAAAATAAGAGAGCAGGTGCCGCAGCTGAAAAATAACTGAGACCAATGCCCTCCCTTTGGGAACTCAAGTTTCCCAGCGAATTCCTCTCCACATTCCCCCCAGAAAAGTCCCTCCTGCTGTTATTGACCTCAAGGCCCATGTTTGCCCAAGAAGCAAACTGCTTCTGTTGAGCAGTATAAGCTTTCCCACTTGGGGTTGGTCCAGGGCAATGGCGATTCTTGCTCAGCTCAGCCCTGGAGAGTGAACAGGTGCTGGGGGCTGATAGAATCCTGCCCAGAGCAACGGAGGCCTGGCCCTCAGTAAAGGTGCAGTGAACACGGGATTTCAAGAGTCTGTATGTGGCATGGAGCCGCATGCCCAGGCAGCTTTGGAGGCACCCCAGGGAACCCCTGGTTGGGCACCTCTGGGTCAAGCCAGTTGGGGCGGGGATGCTGCTCCTTGACCACCCGCTTCCCCGCCAGGAAGTCCTCGCGCAGCAGGGTTTCCAGGAGATCTCAGTGGCTGTGGGGTCAGCCTGGCTGTGCCATTCGCCTGCTGGGTGACCGTGGGTGGGTCGGTGGCATCCCCCCTCTGGATCCCTGGGCCCCGTAGTCTCCCTCCTGGGTTGTGTGTGCTCTGTGAAGTCTGAGCGTCTGCTGTTGTCACTACCTCTCGTTCAGGTCTCCTGGCTTGCTGCCCTGTTGTGCCCTGACCGTGTTCCCAGATTTCTGTGATGAATGGGCGATGCAGAGGTGTAGGGCGTACCCCCTCTGAGAAGCGGTCTGGGGTGAGACAGAGAGCCTGGGCGGGCATGACAGCCCCTTATGGAGGGGAGGGGGTGCTGAGGCGCACCCCCACCTTGAACGTGCCTCAAACCCCCTGAGGATCTTGTTCAGATGCAGATTGGGACGCAGACACCTGGGCAAGACTCTCAGGTGAGGCACATGCTGGGCCAGTGCGGGCCACACCTGGAGCAGTGAGGCGCCCACAGCCAGACGCCTGGCCCGAGGGAGGAGAGCAGGCCACTTGTCCGGACACGATGGCCACGGACTGGCCCGAGAGCCCCAGAGCGTCTGAGCCGGAAAAGATGAAGCAACATGAGGGTAAAATTATGTTTTCAACAAAAGAACAGACCTCTGCCTTCCAGCGCGCGGAAAGAGCTCCGTTTCCACCCCCACACAGCCCCAAGGGCCCGGGAGAATGTGGTTTTCCCAGCACAGCCTTCCCTCGCTGAAGGGAGTGGATTCGCTCTTAAAGAGTTGCCTGTGAAATGAATTTTTCTATGTCGAATGCTATTTTCCAGCGGTTCGTGTTTAAGACCGTGGTTGCATTCCCATCGAGAAGCGCCCAGCTCTGCGGCAGCGGCCCGGAGGAGGAGGGATGGAGAGTTCAAGGGCACAGCCCCCGTGTCATGGGCTACGGAGCGGATGAGAACTGGAGCTGTGGAGCTGGGAACCCAGCTCTGAATCCCAAATGGTCCTCAAATACGCTGCGTTTCGGTCAGACACTAGCCCAGGCCCCTGGCCAATACCGCCCATTCTAAGACCGGCAGCGCCAGAGGGGACCCGGGGCAAGCCCACCCCCCCCATGGAAAAGGAGCCCAGAGAGACGGTCCGTCGTGGCTGACTGGCCATCTTGCTGTGGATAAAATGCCACAGGCCCCACTCTGAATATCAGGCTGGGAGAGGCTCTGGTTTTGTGTGTGGCACAATCCACAATGTGCTTTCATGGATCCAGCTGCCGAGGTGGCCTGGCTGTGTTTCCCCGTGAGTGCTCCGAAGCTGCGTGTCCAAAGTTCCACGGAGACTGCTGAGAAGGGCTGGGTTGGGGGTGCTGGGTTTCCCGCCCAGAGGGCTCAGCTCGGACATGCCAAGGAGCACTGGGAATAGCGAATAAGGGACTAACGTCCACAGTCCGTCCACTCTTGACAGACCGTTGCTTTTCTGAGCATATTCTGGGATCAGTATTCCAAGGAATACACTTTGGGAACCCAGTCAATGAAGAACCCTCATAATCAGAAGGTCTCGCTGTTCCTAATGAGTTACCTAATCGGTAATTAGTTACCAGCGTAACAAATACCCCAAACATAATGGCTTAAAACACTAAGCATGGATTATGGCAGTTTGCGTGGGAAGGGAATTCAGAGATGGCATAGCTGACCGGTTCCAGCCTGTGGTCTCCTTTGAGGTGTCCATCAAGATGTTAGCTGGGCTGCAGCCACCTGACGGCTTGACTCGGGCTGAAGGATGGACTTCTAGGAAGGGGCGTTTTGGGGGCCGGCAAGGCACCGCTGGCCCGAGGCCTGGGTTCCTACCATGCGAACATCTGTCGGGTGGCTGGAGTCTCTTCAGAGTGTGATGGCTGGCTTCCCCAAAGGGGCGACGCAGGAGAGCAAGACTGAAGCCGCAGGGTCTTTTATGACCTAGCCTTGTGCTGCACAAGTGCTCGTACCTGCTCTGTCCTATTGGTCACACTGGGCAGCCTTATTCATGGCGGGAGGTGCCTACAGGCCTGTGGATACCAGGAAGTAGGACCCATTTGGAGACGAGCTTGCAAGCTGACTACCGTGGCAACCATTACTTCTGCAAAAGGACAGATAACTTGCCTCTTTCACCCAGTTGGTTTCTTACCGTTTAGTGCCGATCAGTAACTTTGAGAAATGAACCTGTTAACCTGTGAGGTGAAGGGCAGAGGGGGAGACCAGGAGTGTATGCACCACGCCAAGCTCCGGTGAACAGCAGGAATAATAGTCTGGCCCCATTTGTTGCACGCTCGCCTGTGCCAGGTGCCCCAGGGGCATCAGGACACTGTGCCGTCCCTGTCCCCAAGCAGTAGGTTCCATCAGTATTTCCAAGGTAGGCCCCTCAACCCTGTGAAATGCATAAAAAGATTCTGTGTGTATGTGCGCGCGCGTGATGATGGCTATAGCAACACCAGCTGCTCTGCCTTCTGGAAGTTCAGAGACAAAAGTGGTGACTCGGGTGAACCCACATGGAGAAGGCTGGAGGGGAGAGCAGGTAGGATGGGTAAACGCCAAAGATTAACACGTAATAAGTAGGTGAGATCAAATATTTACGTCATGGGCCTTAACAAAATCAGGAGTCGGGCGAGCCAGGGGGAACCTTTGCTTTACGGGGGCCTCATGGCTGTGAGGCAGACAGGCCTGAAGGTGAGACCGTGCCCGAGACACCTGCACCGCAGGCCTGCCCGTGGCGGTCAGTAGCCGGTGACTTCCGGTCCTCAGCTTCCCATCTGTAACATGGAATGATAATGGCAAACGCCTTTGGTTGTGATGAGCGTTCGGGGGGACAGCCTAAGGCCCAGTCTAAGGCCCTGGCCCAGTCTAAGGGTTCTGGAATGCTTTACTACGGCAAAGCTGATGGCCGGTCACCGAGGTGGTGGTGGCCAGGTTCAAAGAATGCTAACAGATGCTCTGTTGCCTGGAAGGAGCCTTGTTCTGCAGCCGAGAATGGACCCAGAGCCACACAGGAGACACGGCTGCTGCTCGGGCCCCCTGCAGGGCTGACCCCAGGAGGCTGGAAGGCCTCTCCTTCCCGGGAGCAAGTGCAGGCAGGGAGCGGCCCGGCCCCTTCCGGTCCTGTCGGGGCACGATTGCAACAGAAGGCGCATCCTGGGCGTGTTTCCCCTCGGAAGTCTCAACCCGCAGAGCAGGATTTGGGGCGCTCTGGCTAACAGTGTGCTGTCCCAACAAGCCGACCAGGCAGAGAGCCTCTCAGAAAACAGGAGACAGGTGCTGGCTCCTGACCCTGCGGCCCGGCCCGGGCCGACGGAGGCCGTCGCCGGGTCAGGCTGACCTCGGAGACCCTGGCTCCATCCCTTAGGGCTGCGCGGCTGTGGGCAAGTGCCTCCGTCTCCTGGAGCCTCGGTCCCCCAGCCCTTAAATCCCGAGTGGGCTTGCCGGCTGGCCCTCAGTCTGCTCTGAGAAACCTGGGGCTGACCGGGCCGACATGGGGCCCACATGGGTGTACAAGGCCACCCCTTCCTCTCCTGTGTAAGCAGCTTTGTTTTCTTCTCTTTGGCATGTTGGCATTCTGGGTATTACTTCATTTTAAAAAAAAGAAGAAGAAGAAGAAGAAGGAAAAGAAACTTGTCCACAGCGAAAACAATGGTCTTGAAAGTTTCCCACCAATTTACTTTGTCCCAGCTCATTCCTTCAGGGAGCAGAGGGATCGACTCCCTCTGCCAGCTGGGTTTCGTGACTGC